ACAGTGTGACGTTCCTTTACCGCCCACGTTGGGACCACTTAACGTGTGAGTTACAACTTGCTTACTTTAATGTTGACGGAACTGTTTACGCATTTTGCATAGCATCGTGCATAGTTGCCTATGCCTGGATGCCGTTACTCTATGCCTTGCAAGTGATATTTGTGCTTGTTCTTCTCCTAGTTGGAAAGATGAATGCTTGGGCGGGTTTGAGGAGTGGAGTTATGTCGCCCAGTGGGAGGGTGTTGGACGTGGCGGCGGTCGAGGCGATGGAGGATGACGTTTGTGAGGTGGAGGAAATGTACCTTCACTTGTACGCTGTGTGTGCGTGAATTTGAACGACTGTTTGCAAATATTTAAATGATCTCCTTGTTTAAGCAATGATGTCTTGACTTGTTGTTGTTGTTGTTGTTGTTGTTGTTCGTGGTGGGAGGGCAATCGGTTGGCCGTGTTGATGCGGGAGGGTGGGTGGAGTAGAGAGGGTGGGTGGGTGGGTGGATGGATGGATGGTTGCTACGGCTGTTTTTAGTGTGCGTTCTTGCGTTCGTGTTCACGCATCCCGTGTCCTGGGGAAGCGCTTAAAACGGAGGGGGCTTGTGCGTTGAGTGGTCTGCCACTAAGGCGTCGTTGGTAGTTTTGTGGTATCGGGGACCTCGCATGAATTACACCCTCAGTGCAGCAGCAACGAACATCTCTGCGCGACGTAGTGCTTAGTTTGTTGGGCGACAGATCAGCGTCTTTTCGTCCAATTGAGTAGCCATTTCCTGCCTTCCTCTTTAGCTCCCACTCCGTAAACTATCAGAAAAGCTGCGTGTCGGAATTCCCCATAAACATTCGTGTTTAGGTGTCGGAAATGACGCTACACTTCTCTTTGCATACGCGACAGTGGCTCATTCCCTTTTCTCTCTAACAGATATGCTTTGGACCAGAATTCCATCGTCTGTTTCTGGAAGTAATTGATGGTCAACATGGAGGAAGAGCAGTGTAATGCTTTGGTCATGTGATCGCACGACGTATGGCGGTCGCAGCAGTGATTTGTCTGACACTTTTACAGGTATGCTGGCCTTTGGGCCATGCCCACGCCCAATTGTCCTATTGCTTTCGGAATAACGCGTATCCCGCTGCACTTACTAATTTCTTATACCGGCTAGGAAGTCTTGCGACGCAACAGTCCAAGCAAACAATGTCGATGAAAATACGACATTACCAGCCGTCATCTAACAAAGTGTTTTCAACAAAACTTCACATTTGTCCAAAGTTGGTAAACATTAACAGGTGCATTACTTATGCTGTTATTCATTAAAATCGACATATAACACACAAGTATGATAAAAAAGTAGTCAGTTTAAACCCTTTAAACTCGTCTAAAAGCAATCCAAACTTTGGCAATTCTAGCCGCTTTTGGTATTTTCCCCTTTTCGCCGTGTCAGAGCTGTCGATATACCGCGGTTGAAGGCCTTCGGTTTACGTTCCACTTTAATAATGCTTCGGGTATGTACATTCATTGCTCTTGCTTGCATCAATTCATGGTTAAAACATGAGCGGTTTTTAACCGCTGAATAAGTGTTGAAGTAAATACGCGAGATATGACCTTGCTTCGCGTCCAGATTTTGCTGCACTTCTAAACATTAATTTTGTTGGAAAGTTGAGCTATTCACACATATGCCATTTTGCAAATCCGGTGGTAACATCGATGAAACACACGAAGTCCCTATGCACGACGAATATTTTACCATTTTATTTCGGTTTAGTTAGGTAAATTCGCATGCGAAATGGTATGTCGTCATTTCAAAGAATTGAAATCCATTCGTTTCCCTATTCTACATGAGGTTCGGAGAGGTTCGCAAAGTAGTCCAAGCAAGAGACCTGTTTCACTTGAAAATGCAATCGCCGATGAGGATGACGTTATTGAGGTTTTCGATCTGCCCGTGGAGCCGCAATTTGAAGAAAACCCCGAATTCGAGTATGTGTCACAGTCCAACATCGAATGTCAGTATCCATTTATATCCAAAAAAAGTACCCCCCTTCTTGCAATGCAAGCATGACTTTAGGATCGCATGGTGGCGTATTTGATTTACCGGAAATCGTTCAGTTTCTTAGAGTCGAAAATTTTTCAGACATTGTGTCTATTCGGATTCCAGAAACTGTATGTTACGGCAATTTTATGGTGATTGCCACTGCAAAATCTAGCAACCACGTATCCCAAACGTCCAAGATTTTGCACCAACTGGTACGTGGAAACTCTTACCTTCGGCAAGAATTTTTGGATTGATTAATGGGTAATCTGGCGATTTTTTTCCCAGTTTAAAATAAAGCGGGCTTCATCGGACCCCTTCCCCTCTTTCGAGGGACTTGAAGAACGCGCCGACTGGGTCGCCGTCGATTTCGGTAAGAATGACAATTGCCCTTGTTTCTGATGCGCGTAAACCGCACTGAGGGTGAGAGCTTATCGTTTTCAGGCAACATTATCCTTCATATGTTCACAAAGGTTGAGTGTCGTCAAATGTACGACCTCGAATCACTGTGGGGAATTGGTCCCGAGTTCGACGAGAAAACACAAGAGCTGGAATCCTCGAAAGCTCAAGTCGATTTTCCCTACTCGATGAATCTCACCCAAGCAGACTGGGAGCGTATAGTAGCCGATGCAACTGCAGAGTAAACCTCAACCCCTATCAGGATGGAAAAGTGTATGTTCACCTTTGTAAATATGACTTTCATCTTTATTGTATTCTATGAGGTCGTTCGCAACTCTTCCACCTACCCAAGATGTAGCCCGAAGTTCCAAGCATGTACGTTTTTCCTGACAGTGCTGATAAAAAACGATATATTTCCTTTAGTAAGGTGAGGTACTAAAAATCGTTAAGTTAGTTTCGGTTATAAAAACGGGTTCCGCGGACTCTTCCTTCTCCACGAGATCCGGATTGGGCATCGTGGTTCATTGGATGGGGTGGGTGTGATGCGGGTCTGAGGTGTGGAGAATCCGTCATATCACCACCACCACCACCACCAAATCGTGGAGTCTGTGTGTCGGAGAAGACGTGTACAGGGTGGTGCAGTTGCGATTGTCGCCTGCATAGTGTTCGGTTACGTGCCCCATCACCGTACCTGATCACTGGTCCAGCACCAAACCCTGCTGAAAAGTATTGGACTCAGCAATAACAGTTAAAGCAAAATTAAATGATTGTGGAACCAACCAGAGTAGGAAAGCCTGTCACGTAGAGAAAGGGACGGTTTCTGTCTAGAAGCATAGAGTTGTGGCGTGGGATAACGGTCTGCGCAACATCGTGTGTGCATACTACCACGAAGAATTGAGGCCTTTCGAGCAAAGGCGTTACTCTCCGACACTTTCCTATTATCTGGCTGTACATTGGTGGCACTGGGGAGCCAGGAAACTGGCAAACCGGTTATGCTTCTACTCCCCGCTGATTCAAGCACACCGGTTCCATGTGTCGATACGGGAGCTGCACTTGAATTTACCAGAGTCCGACACACAGCCACAAGATTTTTCACTGCCGCCTATGTGTACGAAAGGAATCCCGTTAATGTTGGTTCAGGAAGTGGGATAAAAACACTTACGATGATAGCTAGATCGATTGCAGCCTGGGTAGTGGCAAACCTTCGCAATGTGGCAGGATGCATTCGAAGGAGGTGATCAGCACCACCGATGACGAGCATGCGAAGATCAAACTCACATGGAGCTTTCCAATCCATTCCACGCAATCCACTCACACCACCATGAACTGAAGCCGCCGTAGACCTTCGGCGAGCAGCAATTAGAGCCTCTCTGAAGGCGTTCCCATCGACTTCGTGCTTCGAACTGATTACCAGGAGGAGGGAGCAGCGACGGGCGATGTTATCAAGTCCAGCACTGAGATTGCCCAGACGATATGTCCCTTTTGGTGGGGCAATGAGGACAAGACCTGCTAACCATGGTCTCGTGGGGATTGGCGCGTCAGAACTGGTCAAACGACCACATATTATCTCCTCTAAGGCACCGCCGTTTGATGGAGGCAAGAGGTAGGGCGAGGTGACAGCGGCCGTTAGCACAATGTCGCAATGCTTGCCAAACCCGACCAAGTAGATGGGGATGGGACGTGGATCCTCCGTCTAAGGTGAGACTGGCAAATTAGGATGTTAGGAGAGGCTGTCTTGTAGAATACTACAACAAAACGCTCACCAGCGAGACGAAGTGACGAATGAGACGCCGGATCTGAACGCTAGTGGTTCCGTTCATTGATATGACCATAAGACGCCCAAGTTGCGAGAGACTTTTCAGCATTCTACCGATGCGAGAGCTCTTTGTGTAGCCCTTAGCAATTACACACACGAAGACGGGCTCATCCATTATTGATGACACACGACCAGGAGTAGATGTTGACGTGCTCAAACTACCAGTTATCAGTGAATCCGTAGGAATACACGTTATGGGGGAATAGGAACTAGCCGACCCATCATGTAGGCGCTGATTGACGACACAAAACTGGCTCTAACGCTTGTATTTGCAATAAAAGGGAAAGTAAGTAAGAAACCCACTGAATGAGTTGCACGACAAAGAGGGGAGCCGAATCCATCAGTGGAAGGCAGAAATGCACGATCAATGTATTTTGAGTAATCAAACCGCTTCACTGTACGCTGCAAGATGATCTCTGAGTTAAGTCGACGTAGAAGAGGTGAAGTCCTGCTTTGATGCATTAGGCACGCATATCCACGCAAATACAGTAGGAGAAGACTACTGGGCAAGGTGTTTAGTAAGAGTTCATGCAGCTCTGCACACGTATCAATGCGCTAAGATGATTCAGAAATGAGTTGTTTAGAAAATGAACGCACCCAATTAAGAGAAGTAAACATCTTCCTTATGTGCCGTGCCACAGTCCTCGTCAATAAATCGCCATACGAATGACGCCGGAACTCACTCAATTTACACTTAGACTAGGAGAGATGTTGCACTTCAAAGCATCCCATCCTACCATTTGAGAGGAAACAGAGTCGTCAAAATCAATCCGAGTTAGTGCCTTTTCGATTTTCCGATACAACTTATCTACCGTTGTATTCCATGTCACATGGAAAGTGCTCCTAAATAAGTCATTATTAAGCATCCTGATGTGCTTACGAGTGAGAGGATTGTTTGTTATCAAATTTTGGTTCATCAACTGGACCATATGCACAAAACCTACTGAATTGGCAGGAATCTTCATTAACAGGAAGTTCTGGCACTTGACCACACAATCTCGTTTCATCTCCTTCTACGTCTACCCACATATAACTAGCGCCTTCTCCGCCAAGCTCTGAGTCATTCGACCCAAAGGCAGGTTCAATGCATAGGGTGCTAATTGGATCCAGGTAAGAGGGACGGCTGTACGGATGATCGTGGTTAATTATCATTGATTGTAGATGCCAATAATGAGGATCCATCTAATACATGATAAAACAAGACATATCCGAAAAACGGGTTATGAACTTACAGTTAATAATGCAATTGTAGGATATCGAACCGTAAAATCACAAAGATAAAAAGAGAAGCAGCTAGAAGGACTCCCAGTGACCACAAATGCGTCAAATGACTAACGCCTCATAAAAACAACAGCATTTGAATTATTAGACTTTATTTAGTAAATGATGCAAAACAAAAGTATGGTGCAATTAAAAAATTGCTAAACAAAAAAGTAAAATATAGCTTGCATTGCTCATTAACTTGACTAGGTATTGATAATGCTTCTCGACAGTAAATCATGTAAATGAGTTAAAATCTATAGGATCACATGCCAAAATACTGCTATATAGAAGTACTAAAATTTGCACTCATAATGAATTGTGCTGCATATAATACCTGTACAAAATAAATTAAAATTTGAAGACATCTAGAGAAACTATTTAGTCGGAAATAATTGGTCACTATTGATGTAGGCACATAAGATTTCTCATACGGTAATGAAGGCCTGATATTTCGAATTCGTATATAAGTGATTAATATTCTTTGTTAGCATGGATCAAATTTTAAATAAACAAGTCGACCGTGAATCTTGTCGTAAATGGTCTTCATCTCACAAATTTCTGTTAAGTCCTTGTACTGTAAACGGCAAATGGAAATAGACATTTCTGCTGACCATCATGCATTATAAATGCTTTGCTTTAAAACCTCGATTTGGCAAAGATAAATAGTAAGTTAGATGAGATTAAGCACAGCCTAATTCACTTGCCAATTGTGGTATCAAATGGGCCTAATTGCACTCGTAAATTGCCTACCACAAGAATTGGACAATGTGAAGTGTAGCTTGCCTAGACATCACACCAGGTAGAAGAATGCAGTAATTTGTGCTGAGTATGTGTATTCTGGGAGGAGAAGAAGTAATTACGCCTTGGCTTGGCCCAATGATCAACTTACGCTCATAAGGCCCAGAAGGACAACAGTTACCGTAAGACATCGAATGGCTACATCAGCAAAGTATTACAAATGTGTGTGTTACACTCAGCTAATCTGTTGCGGCAAAATTTAAGGCTAGTAGTTTTAAATGTAATGTATACAATAAGGTTTAAATTTAGCCTTATAAGGAAGAGGCGAGAACTTAAAGTGAACGCAAATCCGAGGAGTGAGGATCGTGAGGATTCCCTCCGCGACCAATATCGGCTATCCGGCTCACCTATACTCCCTATCCCCATTCTTTGCGTACACACTGCCTAATTAAACTACTGCAACTAACCCTCTCTTAAAGTCCGAGGTTCAAGGGTATGGGGTAGACAGGCAGGTTTTGCATTGTATGCGCAGGCATTACTTGGACAGACAAATCTATTGTGAATGGTGACAAATCGAGAAAGATGTCATTGTGAAGTCGTGTTTACTTCTCGTGACCACTTCTGGGCAAATTAGGGTCTTCCATCTTGGTAACAGAAGTCTTGGCTGAAGATATGCAGTTAGACAGAGAGGAATGAAAAGCCTAATTGAAGTAGTCTGATGCGAAACCCATTAAACAGAAATAGGATGGTTGCCGAACAGGCCCCCACGAGTTCAGAAGGCAGTATAAACAGAGCCTACTATAGCGCAGTGAATATTGCAAGGCATTATACAAATAGCCAAGTATTGCTTTGTTTATACGACCGTTTGTAGTCGAACCATTACTGCGGTATTAATTTGGCTCTTGCACACCTGAGCTGGCATTTAAATCGAGCCAAGGCTTAACTAATTCTTCTTTCTCTTGCATACATGCATTTAGCTTAGGCTAACGCCTCCAATTTGCCCATTGGAAAGTTCCCTGGATTAAGGAAGATGCTGAGCCAGCTCAATGCATCAATGTAGGCAGAAGGTTGATGCACGAACTATAGCATAGATTGTGGTCCAGCGTAAACGAACAAGAATAAGATAAAAACTCATAGTGCCAGTTAGTTTCAGAAGTGATTACATGAACAATATTTTTGCGTATAAAGGCTTCTCATTAGGGTCAAAAAGTCAGTAAGTGAGGCTGGATACATGTATTCAGAAGGAAACAAGGCAAATGGGCCTGAGCATGGCCCCAAGGCCAGCGCACGAGTACAAGGACCAGACAAATCCTAAAGTGACTGTAATATATACTAGTTTGTTTAAGTGGACTTTTAAAGAAGAGAGGCGAGAACCAAAATTGGGAGCGCGAAACACGTGCGCGAAAACGGTGGGGAGAATTTTTCCAGTTGATATCTCGTATTCCGCTCATTTGCGTCCAAATGCCCATTATATCTACAACAAATGTAGGCAGCTCTTACAGCGACCACTAAGCACCAGGTAGTCAAATAAACAAAGTATCACAAATATACGCAAATACGTGATTTATAAAGGGAGGAAACATTGAAGTGTGATTATGTCCTTGTCCAAACCCCATTCCAACTAGGAGAAGCAAGATGCCCCAAAGTTGACATCAATTTATAATTTGAACCTTTAAATTAATTTCTAAATCATAATCGTATCAAATAAGGCACCGCACCCCAAAATAGCCAAAAAGGTACAATTGTTTCGGTCATCTAACAAATGTGGTTTGTCTATCCTTGCAAAAGAGCCACATTGCTAATTTTAATCTAAGGTTTAGATAATTGTGGCTTTTTTAGTCAGCCAAAGCTCTACTTCGCAAATTGTTAACTCTCGACAGTAAATATGGAACATATCCTTCATTTCAACATATTACATTGATGATACTTCTTCACAACCTTGACTAGCAATAGATCTTCTACACACGTCGAGTTAGTTGGCATAATGAAGTCCAAGGCTAAGAGTTCCAAACTGGGAGAGCTAATCCGCTCAATTAGTACTGTCATTATTGCACCATACCTCCTGCTTTAGCCCGACGGGATCCGTCCAAGAGGCAAATTAAGCCGGTGAATACTGAAACTCTCTTATTGGATGACCTAGACGATGAAAGTGATGCTGAATATGTCTACGATGGCACTGACGGTATACACAATATTTATTTTACCCTTAAATAGATGACGTAAGTGATAATTCAGCAAGTAGTTCCGAAGACGGAAGTGGTTCTTCGGCATCAGATTCTGATACAGGTGGTGATGATTCCGACTCTTCGATTAGGATTATTGGTGTATCTCATGCCCCAGACAATTTCAAAGAGGACTCCGCCTTGAAAAATGCAATCAGTGTTCCTTCGGAGGCCTATCCTGTTAACCTATCTGGTAGTAGTATGCTGCTTGACTCTTGCAGTCCACATGTGTCCTCCGACTTATCCGATCGAATCTGCATGGTTTGCCTGTGTAAACAAACCAACTCAAATGATGAAATTATTGAATGTGATGCATGCAAAATTACTGTCCACGAGGGTTGGTCCTTGATGCTCTGTGACTTTCTTAGACTGTCATAAGGTGTACGAAGATGTTTTTCAGTCAAGCAGCGCTAGTTCATCAGACACTGAACCGTGGTTCTGCGAACCCTGTTTAGCTGGTGTCGAAAATCCAGTGCGTTTTATTCTTTACTTACCTGAATTATTTTAGCATTGTGAGTTATGCCCGAATTATGGTGGCGTATTCAAACGAACTGATAACAATCGATGGGTGCATCTCTTATGTGCTCTTTTCATCCGTGGGGTCGCATTTAATTATACAGATGTTCTTAGTGAGGTATACTTATATTTTCTCCATATTCACTAGGTTACACTTACTGAACTGGCCGCCAAGGAGTGGTCATCAAAAGAGTGTAGTTTGTGCGAAGATAAATTCTTTGCATGGACAGGTGTTTGTATTGATTGTGATGCTGGCCTTTGCAAAAACTATTTTCATGTGACATGGTAGGACTCCGGTCTTAAACTTCTAATTTTATCAGTGCCCAACGCGAGGGTTTACTTGCTGAGCCGGCCTATGAAGAGGTGAGTAGCAACAAATGACATAGGTGCGTTTATTGCCTTGACGGATCCAAGTTATTGTTTTACAGAATCCCAATGATCCCTTCTTTGCGCAATGCCGGCAGCACACAGATAAGGAGGTGGTGGCGTATCGGCGTGTCAACTATATTTCGACCTACAATCGATGTCATCTTTTGCGACAGCTATCAGAAAAGAAGAAAAAGGATGCCTACTCAATAGATGCATTAGAGGACTTTGCTGCGACAAATAATGAAAAAAAGAGCATATTTTCCCTATTGGATGACAGGCTTAAAGAAAAACTGGAACACTTTCGTCGTCTTTATGAGATTATGCTTTGCAAAAGAGAAGCGCCTTACAGTAGGTCTAATTTTGCCTAACATTAGCTATTGTTGATACCTAGTAACTATTGCATTTCTAATTTGTTTAAGCGAGGCCTAACAAGGTGCCTGTTTATCTGGAAAACTCTCCCGTGGCAATGCGAATGTTCATGGCTAAGGCAATGGCTTTGTCTCTCCCCATTGACTTGACAGGGGGTTCAGCTGTTACGGAGGCCTTCAAATCATTGCCCCCGGGCTGTCCACTATTCTGTCCCGATTTTATTAACTACGTGTTAGGTAGTCGATGTGACTGTTGCCTGCACCGAGTCTTTCCACTCGTTTGATCGCATTACAACCATCTTCATTGCTAATTGTAGAACGTGAGAAGAAGATCGAGGACTACACCAAAAGGCTGAGCTGTCTGGAATCCACTCAGAGGAGTTTGCAGTCATCTGATGCCAACATTTCGAGCAATTACAACACTGTAAGTGCACTTGGTTTAGTTTCGACAAAATGAACGCACTTCCTCTCCATCTTTCCCTCCTTCTCCTCCCTCATTCTCTACATATTCCATCCTGCCCTCTCCATCCTCTCTTCCGCAGCTTTCAACTCGTCTCGCCGAATCTAATGCCAAGTTGACTGCAAATCGGAGCAAAGTTACCTACATTCTGGAATGCCTATCGAAAATCTTGCCTGTAAGTGAATGACTAAATAAATGTTGGTGGTGGTGCGTAGTGTGTAGTGCATTCATTGCATCAGCCTCGTGACTGCGCCAGTACGTGGTTGTGACTACACACACTGCAGTGCTTCCGAACTGTTGATGCGAAAATGCAGGACACTGTCGAGGATGTGATATGTGATGTGGGTGGATCGGTGAGATAGTTTGTCCTTTTCCTTCGAGGACATCAAAGTATCAGGGGATTTGGCTGCTCTTCTGACACCACCGGAGGTCGTGGATGTGCACACCGCGACTGTAACTGATTCCAATGCGGTCATTACCGGTGGTAGTGGTGGCGATGGCGGCATCGGTGGCGGAGACGGTGTTGATACTTCTGTTGCTGATGGTGATGGTGATGTCAGCGGCAGTGGCCGTGTCAGAGTGGAGAGCAGTGGTCGAGTGCGTGCTGTTGGTGGGTGTTCGCGTCAATCACGAAAACGTTGTCGTAAGGAGCCGGCAACTGTGGCGAAACGTGCCAAAAAGGCCACAAAGGAGAGTGACGTAGTTCTTGTCTCCGAGACATGTGCTTGTCCAGCCGTTGAGACAAGCGAAGCACGCGTTGAGAATATTTTTCACCAGTGAGTTGTTTCTATTCTCCCACAATTGCATTAGTGCAATGGTTGCCTAGTGTTTGTAGCAATGCAGAATCAAGGCGATGATGGTCGGGATAATGAAGGTGAAGGTGTCTGTCTATAGTGGTGGTTATGCAGGGAATGGAGGAAGAGGAGGAGGAGGAGTTGGTGGTGGTTGAAGTGGATGCTTGCACACTGCTACGAGTCCAGTCCTACTGTACTCACAGGTTAGAGGTCCAATGTAGGCAGGAAGTCGGCACATGCAAGTGCTTGCATAATTGCATTGTTGTGCCTCCGGCGGGGGAGGGGTTGGCGGAGGCAGAGGGAGGTGGTGTTGACGATGCATTCGACGTGATTGAAATTGCCTTGACAACGTAATGATTGTTTGATTTGCAGATGCAGTATCTGCAACGGTTACCGGGATCAGCACTTGTTGACAACATGTGAGACGTGCAAAAAGGCCTTCCACATCGGGTGTCTCGATCCGCCACTTGCTCGTGTGCCCAAACGCAGTAAGCTCTTTGCATGGTGAGTCCATCCACAGGGAGCATTTCTTTTGCCTTAACACGAGGTGCATTTGCATCGTCCTTGTGAGTTGTGAGGTGTGTGTGTCAAATGCACTCGACTGTTTGCTTTTGTCAGGTCATGCGACACGTACATGTATCGGTGTAGTCGTGCGGCTCGCTTCACTCCACTCCTCACAACATCATGTTGGTGGAGTGATATGAAGGTGGCTCCTCCGAGGCTACTTGTTTTACTTGCATGATTTGACTTCGTTTATGAGGCAACAGGAGTTGCCTAGGTAAATGGCATTCGCTATTTACTGACAATAGGGTGTGCCTAAGTTGTGCGTGTTTATGTGTGTGTGTTAAGATGTGGGGGGTGGAAAGGGAGGGGAGGGGAAGGAGCTATCCTCCATTTTGTACAGTAAACAATCGGATCACTATGATGATGTGCCATGATCAGTGAGAATACTTTGCACACTGAGGTGGTACGCCCATCCCCATCCATCCTTCCCCTTCCTTCTTCTCCCTTTTGCAAGTGGTGAGGATTGTAACCTTGCCATTGTTCGGTTGATCATATCAAGCGACACGTTATTAAAGTTGATTTGTTGGATTTTATTTGTAATTATTCTTATATTTTTTCCAATTTTTTTGTGTTTTACTTGGAAAAGTTCTGTCCCTTCATCTCTTATATGGTAGGCACATGTAGTTTGCTTAATTCGCTGTTCTTGGGGAATTTTGCAGGTAATGTGCCTTGGTCATGAGGGTCGCGTTGGTGATTGGTTTTGAGATTTGTGTTTTTTTTGGCTCTTTTTATTGAATCTATGTAAACACTTTGTGTTAGTTAGATATATTCTGGGATTTCTCTTATGCTTGGGTGGAAATCTATCCTTCCGAATGTCAACTCTTCGGGGACGCGTTGTTTTTTTTTTTGTTTACGAATGGCTTGTTTGGCAGGTTTGTTTTGCGTATTCTGGGATCAGCTTGTAATTTGTAAGCCTTATGATTTTAGGCTAAGGCGTACAGCAGCGGTTTGCAGGAGTTGTGAAGACTGTCTTCTGCTTTAATTCTATTTTGGTGCTGAAATTTCATTTACCTAATGTGATTGTGTGTTTGTATTTCAGGCAATGTTGTATGTGCACTGTAGCTGTTGTGCCTCCTGGAGACGCAATAACTGTTGATGTGAATGCTCCCCGTCAGCTTCGTCGCAGCACTGCTCCTCCTGTACTCGCGACACCACCTCCTCTCCCTCCTTCCCTTATTTCCACATCGGCTGTCGCTCCTGTAGCTGTTGCTCCAACACCAGTCAAAATCGTTGCCCCTGCTCCTGGTCCACCACCCCCAATCCACAGTAAACGCTCCTCTTCCTCTGTGCGAGGTCGTGGAAAAAATCGACGTGCTCGTCTAGGTCGTCCACGTCGTGTGGAGGCGGAGGCGTACCCTTGTCAGATGGACACACAAGATGTAGTGCCTGCAGAGGCCTATCCTACGACAACTATTTGCAGCAGCACTCCTTTAGTGGAGGCAGGTTCGGAAGGTGTGGAAGAGCTCTCAGTATCACAACAACTTAGAAAAGTTGGATACGGTGAAGAAGGAGACGAGGATGATGTAGAGGAAGATGAAGGTAGCTATACCGATGGGGGTGAAAGTAGCGATAGTGACTCGGAGTCGGACACTGTTGACAATATAAAAGAAAAGGTAGGGAGTGTTTTTTCTCTCATCTAAGTACTGGGTAATTAATTATCCCACATTTTTTATGTAGAGCTCCATACCTTTGAATGCCTACGAGGACTCACTGGTCAAGCGGAACGCATCGGACGATGAGTTGGCTTCTCTTCGTGGATCCAAAGGTTCGTATCTAAAAGCAAGCATTGACATTGCTATCAGATCCACGATTTCCTGTGTTTGACTCACGTTGAATAAGGTGGTTGGTATTGGGCGGATTGGTAGTGAACAGTCTTGCTACAATCGACTGTTCTATTATCAATGTTACCTTATATTTAACCCTAAAAGAGAAGTGCGTACCAAAACAGTGTCTCTACTAGTAGTTTAACGTTGGTCAATATAATTTCTTTCTTAACTGATAGTAAAGTTTGTTCGGATAAAAGACCATGAGAGCCCCGATGAAAGTCTCGTCGACGCGGCTCCACAACGCTATGTCATCTGTCAATCTCAAGACGCAACGCCCAAGGTAAACATTTCTAAGCTCTGTCTGTGGTTTCAACATCTAAACTTATTCATTTCTTTATAGAAATCGCCGATGTCGAGCAACTTCAAGATTAAAATACGCAAGTCTACCAACTCCTAAGCATAGCAGTATGCTTTGGTGGATCAAAGCGTATTTTACCCTAGCTTACATCTGTGGATGCTTGGGTTCTACTGTGTAAAGAAGTTGTATTTGTGCTTGACATAATTTTACTGATTGTTTCGTGTGCAAGAATACATTTTCTACCACGGGGTTGGGCACATCGGTGGTTTGAAGAAGTGCTCGTCGTCACCATTGGCTCTCTCCATTAAATTTTAGATTGGTAGGTCGCGAGCGCGTTATACATGTCCTAGTCGAAATCAGATGATGAGGTGCGAGGACATGGCTCTCAAATAGCAAATTTAGGTGTTATGTGAAGGATATGCATGAAATCATTCGGTTTTTATGTGCCTTTCACGATAGATTTCGTAAAGGTAAGCTGGCGGCAGAATGCTCGAGCGAGGATGTCCTTAGTCCTTATCTCATTTATATTTTTAGAAAAATTTGAATAGTAGCCGTTAAAATTTTTCCCATAAAGTATGTGTGATAGAATGCAATTAGGCAAAATAATGCTTTGCTTTTAATTTATGCATTGTTTTGTAAAAAAAAGCAAATAACATGTCAATAAAATTAAATTCAGATTTTAGGATTACCATTCGTTATTTAAATAAATGAAATTTCTGTTTTATTGTTCTACTGCTCTAGGTCGAGTACACCAATAACGATCAGCTGTTTGTCTTCGACTTGATCACCTGATTTGTCAGTTTTAGGCGGTGGGCTTTTTTACCCAAAATAATGTGGCGTGCAATCTTTTATCCATATTACCCGAAAAATGAACCTCGAATCTAACGCTATTTCGAGGCTTACTTTTTCTGGTTTAGAGGCTCTTGACTCCGAAATCGATAAACCCTCCGAAACATTTGTTAATGTCTGCGAGCTGATACTCCGTAGAGGTTGCGTTGAGAATTCTTTCTTATTGAATCAATGTGATAATTGCTGTGCTGAACAACTTGTTTCCTCACGTTACTTTCAATCACAATGCGTAATTTATACATACTTATAATCCACGTTAATAATAGGGAAGGGGTGTAACATCTCTTCATAGTGAACTGAAGAAAATTGGACATCTGGGTCATCCTATTGTTATCGAATATTTGCTTCTACCAAGATCACAGATTGAAGGGGATTATCAGCCTCTTGGTAGTAAGCAGGTTCCAGCGTACTTGATGGAAAGATGGATAATCCAATTTCTCCCAAAAAGGTAATCCTGTATGATGTAACTCACACTGTGGAAGACATTTAATTCGCCTAAAATTGAGAGACTTGAGTCTAAATTCGCCTCTAATTGCCTTTCCTTAGGCTTGTGACCGACAACTTCTCAGATGCGTCGAATCTCTTCCGCGACATTAACTCCTTTTGTAAGTCATCAGCGGTAAATAAAGTGGTACTCCACAAAGGCCAGACCTCCTGCGATACTCCAGCACTGAGTGAATTGTGCTGTGTATGTAGGTAGGCCCACAACTAATGGAAATTCTCCTGTCTTCTAGGCTTCCATGGCACTCCTCCATCCTTTCCTTTATTATTTCGTAGGCTTACAAATTTACGGCGTGCAAATTCATTTTCTCCGTGTTGGTTTACAATAAATATCAGCGAAGCCTTTACCACAGAGGAAGCAAACAATGAGTTAGCAAACTTCGGGTTCAGGGTTATAAGAGACTTTTCGGACAACTTTTACACTTCGCATGGTGTGCACTCTACAACGCGCACGAAAAGTCCAAAAAGGACACATCTCTGCAGCAGTCCTTGCTCGCACCTACACCGAAAGGACAACAGTGGAATGTGCACTACAAAACAACTCAGTCGAATTCTCGCTGACAGCAAAGAGGTCCTCGATACCATCGTAACATGTGCGTGTGAGCTGCCACCATTTCCACTCAACGAGACTATTTACGATTGCCTTCGGTGTCTGCAAAGTGGTACAATGAGTTTGCCTACAAGGCGATGGAATGAGATGGCGTTGTTTGTTGGTGACGCCGCCGACGCCGATGCTGACGCCGCCTCACTTGCTGCAAAATGCTGCTGCAATGCACCGAAGAGCCCGGTTGTGATAATGTCGCAATGGACCAAACCCACGTCTTTGCCCCAATCGCCACCCTGTAAATTGAAGCGCATGCAAGAGGATAGTGCACCCCGAGTAGACGACTGCATCAGCCAATTCACCTCTTTGAGCGTGCAGCAAGCAACATCGTCACACACGACGGCCAACATGTTGTACACTCCAAGTGGGAATTGTGTGCAGCCTCACTTGTCGGTGGTTTGGAAGGCAAAAAGGGCATGTGCAGACGCTTCTTCGCACTCGCCGTGCTTCCATCCACAAACCGGTCTGCCTTTGCAGTCCTCACCCGTAAGCTGGGCACAGCCACTCCTTTCATTAGGATGCACATTTTCTACTGCATTTCTCTCTTTTTTGTAGATACCAATGAAACAGAGGAGCGCGACTACCTTCCACTTTGGCGACTGCACCTTCAATTCGCCCTCGGCAAAACTGTGAGTTGGTAATCTTCGGCCCTCCCCCGCCCCCCCCCCTTGACAGCACCACTTGCAAATGCCATTTTTGGTTGAGAAAGGTGTGGTGCTGTGCGAGTGAGGAGGAGGAGGAGGAGGAGGAGGAGGGGAAGTGTAGTGAGTTGAGCTGTTCCCTCCTCCTCCTCCTCCTCCTCCTGCACGGCTCTCCTGCAAGGCGGGAGGAGGTGTGAGTGAGTGAGTGAGTGAAGAGGTGGCAAGGCAAGGCAAGGCATTCACCTCACTCCGCTAATTGCGCATTCAGCCTGTAATAATAACATTCGTTTCACAAGTGTGCCACCATCGCTGTGCTGCCACAGGTGTGTGTGTGTGTGTGTGTGTG